CCAACATTCCCATTGCGGACACAGATGAACACAGAGTACAGGCCAGCCAGCCTGCCAGGGAGACCACTGTTGTAATGGATGAGACGAGCCCATCCCAAATCTATGCAGTGGACAGCCTGAATACAGGGTTGCAGGACCCTGCAGAGGCTCTGCAGTCTCACAAGCAGCTGCAGTAGGGCCAGGTGCACAGGGCAGAGTTCTGAGCCTGAACATGTTGACATGACTGAGCAGACTCCCTTCCTAGAGAGGACTCTAAGAGCCAGGGAACAGCACACAAAGATCCCCTCTCATCACTGCAAGTCCCCAGCCCACCCACCCACTCATGTCATCTTACAGAGGAGCAGCACAAGAGGGAGGAAATCTCGAAGACAGAACATGTTCTCTAAAAGCACTAAAGCATCTAACAATGCGGTTTAAGGGGGAGAGACTGGGGTGACCTTAAATAGTATGTTTAAGATGGTCGGTTTTTTGACTGTTGTTTATCAGGGTGGATAGAGTTCATAAGAAATATTAGATCAATCATGAAAAAATTTTAAAATTCTTTGCATATCTTAAATTGTTCTGTATAAAACTGTAACTCTGCTTCCTTCAGTTTTAACTCTTAAAGATACTCATATCTCTGTTCTTGAGATGCCCCTCATTTTTCTATCCTTCCCTATCATATTTCCTATTAATGTTGACTATATACTCAATACTGCACACTCAGTATTCAATTTTTGAAAGGTATAGGAAACAAGTGGTCTGTCTTGTAAAAGGCCTTGAACAGCTATTTCATCTCTTCCCTAACAAAACAGTTATGATGAATTAAATGAGCACTTACTAATCTCTAAGGCATTTTGCCAACATCATTATCTACAGTTGTAAATGTAAGAGGTGGAGATGACCGTGCAGCCAGACAAAGCTGGGAGAAGCTCCCTGCTGTGGATGGCAGAGGCAGAAAAAGCTAGCTCCTCCTAGGTGTCCACCAAACGTTTATTGAAATCATTTCACCATTTAACCATTGTACTTTGACAACAACAAAAGCAATATGCCCAAATGAGAATACAGCCGGGCACAAAAAACGGTGGGGCAGGTACTGAGTTCCAGGCAGGGGAAATGGCTCACACAGAGGGGCAGCGTTTACCATCCCGCACAGCAAGCCCTCTGGAGTAGGCAGACAGCAGTTCTCATGAGCCTTCCAGTGGCAAGTCGGAACAGAGAAACACTGATGGCCTTTGCATTAGCAAAAAGGAACCAAACACATTTAATTTTGTAGAAGATTACTGTGGAGACTGTGAAAGGTGGCTGAAGGGGAGCAAGATGAGTGCAGAGGGGCATGTGGTGATACATGTGATAAGTGACCAGGGCACTAATAACTCCCTGGCAGTGGGCCAAGTCAGGTAGAGTCAGTTGTTGTTGTTAATGTGGTGTCTATCAGGGATGAGTTCCAAGACTTTTTTCTATTCACCCATCTTGCCAATGTCACTCCCCATTTTTCTTCTTAAATGATTGAACTAAGTTTAGCACTTCAGCGGCTGGACATTTAAGAGAAAATAGATAATTTAAAATCACCCAAATATTTGAAAATCTGTTTCTCTTAAGTCTATCATCATTTTTTAAAAAATGTTTGCATCACTTTGAAATACCAAAAATAAAACCCTAGAATTTTTTACTCATGGACAACTCATAATAAAATGTTTTCATAATATTTTACCTAAATATTTCCATGTCTCTAATTTCTTTATCACAGAACATTAATATTTAGAGAATTCTGCTTTTTTAAATTAATTTTATTTAGTTATTTTTCAAGTACAGTTTTTCTGTCTATTTCTCCCTTTTTTAATTAATTTTATTTAGTTATTTTTCAGAGAATTCTGCTTTTTTAATAAAATTATTTTATTGTTGTTCAGTTATAGTTGTCTGTGGTTACCTTCCACTATTCCTCCCCACCCCAGCCATTTCCACCTCCCTCCCCTGCTTCTACCCACCCTTGGTTTTGTCCATGTGTCCTTTATAGTTCCTGAAAATCCTTCCCCGTTCCCCCATTATCCCTTCCCACCTCCCCTTGGTTACTGTCAGATTGTTAATTTCAATGTCTCAGGTTATATGTCTGCTTTTAAATGGATAGTTTACTGCTGCTATAGGCAGCATTATTTTTTAAAGTATGTTTTTTTGTGAAGAAGGAAAAAACCCCAAGAAAATGACATGAAGTGAAATTCTTAAAAGTCTGAAAGTATAAAAAATAAACTCTTCTTTATGTTTTACTTACATTATAGGAATTGAAGGTATAGTGTTGGTGTTACATTTTACCATTTCTACCTTGAAAGACCTAGAAGGGTTCAAGGCCCTTCACTTATTTTCTGTTTGTCGGCCTGCCTCAAATTTAAACTTTGGTAGACGAAGAAAGTATATAAATATTTGCAGCTCTTTGCTGACTTTAGCATCTATTTTGAAGTGTTTCTGTTGAATGAAACTGTTTTTGCACTACGATTTCACTGGTACTATGAACATTTTATGTGCAGTAAAACTAGGCTTGTTCCTTTCACGGAAGCGGCCATATGCAGTTCTTATTTGCAGTTCTCTTCCTCTACATGTGCGTGATCTCCACGTTTTCTTTCATAACTGGGCGTGTCATAAGCATTCTAACCGCCCCCCAAAAAAGGCCATCAGCAAGATTGTACATCTTGCCTGCGTAGCTGCTTTTCTTCTTTCTGCCATTCTTAAGAGTATATGACAAGCCACTTGAAATAAAATTTCCTGTGTTTAAAACACAAATTGAGTGAGGAAGCACAGCCCTGCAGCTGAACACTGAAGATAAAACATAGTGCCCTACTGTGAAGGAGCGCTCCTATCCGAAATGGGAGACATTTTGAGATTCACAATGTGTCTTCTGAAATGTAAGAAAATCAGGTTCAGATTATAATGGACGTGTGTGGTAATTGGATTCCACCATGATTGGTTAAAAGACTTTGTTACTAAATGATGTCATAACTGCCTTCAAAAGAGCAATGCTTTGGCCCTGGCTGGTGTAGCTTAGTGGATTGAGTGCGGGCCTGCGAACCAGACAATCTCGATTCAATTCCCAATCAAGGCACATGCCGGGGTTGCAGGCTGGTTCCCTGCAGGCCAGTTACCTGCAGGGGACCCATGAAAGGCAACCATACATTGATGTTTCTCTCCCTCTCTCCTTCCCTTCCCCTCTAAAGATAAATAAATAAATAAAAATAAAATCTTAAAAAAAAAAAGAGCAATGCTTTGGAAACCCAATAAGCAATGTATAAACTTTGTCACAGTTTATGTTAAGCATGATGTTTTTTAAAGAGAATAATTCTGTTTATGCCTTTTTCACCAAGCTTGCAGTTTTGCAATCTCACACCCTTGTTTCCTTTAGTATCTGTAACACTCACTGAGTGTTTCTTTGGGCATTAAGTATTGAAAAGGCTTCTGGGGAAAATATTGCCCACTCCAGCTTTTCCTTCCTTTCTTCTTTTTAATGAAACGCTTTGAGTATCTAGAAAAAAAAGACAGACCCCTTTGGCTTAGTTTAGGAATCATCGTTACCATGACCCTCAGCAGGAGGAGTTTTGAGCCTGTTCCCCGGGGCCTGCCCAGTAGGACTCCATGAAGATGCCCAGCGGCGGTCGTCAATAGGTGCTGTTTTTTAACTACTGCAATTCCCATGACCAGATGTGATATTATAGCACTGAGTGATTTAAAAAGATGCTGTTGGTTTAGAAGGGACCTGTAGGCAGAGGAACATCTTTCTAATCTCTCAGGCTAGAATACTTTACTGACCACCTGGCTCCCTTGCATCTTCTCTTTCCTCTCTAATACCTCCATTTCCCCACACTCACTAAACATTTACTGTGTACAAAGAAACAAACTTTTGATACACTGAACAGCATGCTTGATTCTCAAAGTATGCTAAACAAAAGGAGACAGCCACTGTTTATTTGCACAGCTAACCTAGAGTTACAGAGTGCAGATCAGGAATTACCTGAGGCCTAAGTGGAGAAAACTGGCTCTAAAAAAGCACGAGGGAACTTTTGGAGTGGTGGACATATTCTAACCTTGATCATGATGTGGTGACCCAGATGTGCAGGTAAACAGTTCAAATCTCATAGAACTGTTTACTTAAAATGTGTGTATGTTGTATATAAAGCTTAACTTAATAAAGTTTATTAAATTAAAAAATTTTAAAAACAGGACAGGTAGTCATAGGAGGGAGACAAATGGACAATGAGGTCAGGAAGCAAAGCAAAGGCCATTACAAATGAAGACACCTTGGGGCCCAGATGGATTCTCAGGGACCCTTCCCGGAAAGTGCCAGTTCTGATCACACCTGTCACCTACTTGCTATTTCTTTTTCCATGCGGGTAACCAGTCTGTTCCCTATAACCTGAAATGATTTTCTTCTTTCCTTGTAATTCCAACACCTAACTCAATTTCTATTTTTGTTTTCCTTCAAGTTCTCTCGACTACTCCTGCAGTAGTACATTAACAGTCCTTGAACGAACTGATATAATGCAATGAATAACTCAGTTACCTTCTACTTGAATTGCTTTTACCTGCAACCATACTGGAAACTGATTTAGGGAAGATTTCTAATATGTATACTTCTGTTACATCCTTTCCCATATTCCACTTACTGTTCAAGGAAATATGTCAAAATATGTCTTTACTCTCTCCCGTTCTTTTTGTTTCTGCTTCCACAATCATAGTTTACTGTCTCTTGGCTGGACTATTGCAGTGTTACCTTAATTGGTCTCCCTGCTCTATTCTTATACCACTTTGTTCTCTACATAGCATTCAGAATGGTATTTTTTAAAAGTAAATGCTGCCCCATCTATCTCCCCAGAAGTTAGCAGGGGATCAGCTTAATGAAGGGACTCAGCAAGTAATCAGTGAATGAATGAACCTGTGAAAATATAGTTGGCAAATAATAAACACCCAGTGTTTGCTCTTGTTTCCCCCTGAAATTTTCTTTTTGTAAAAAATCTTTTCCTACCTCATTTTTACAGGTGCTTCTATCGTGACTGTAAAAGCTTTTGCCCCCAACTCAATTCGAGATAGCATTAAATATGCAATTTTTAGTGGCAATGATGATGGAGTTTTTTCCCTGGGCCCCAACTCAGGTAAGTTTTCTCTATCCAGTGAAAGTTTTACATCTTGCTTCGTTAATGTTACGAGTAAGGAATACTCCTCCAAAGGAAATTAAACATTTGAAAGGCACGGATTGTTATAGGTAAATAATTTCAAAGGTAAACAAGAAAGTTTTTATGGTAACAGATGGGAAATTGTGGGAGATCAAGAACTATTTGTTTACATGTTCTTGCTAAGAATTCTATTCTTCACATTTCCAAATTAGATAGCTCCTATTCTACTTTTCTAATTTTTGAGATAAATTGGTTCCTACTTAAAATTCACCCATCTACTTGGGAGACCTGGAGCTTTAGTACAATGATCATTAATATTGACATTGAATTGAAAATAAGCACACATGTCTAGTCTTTTCATCATATCCCCCCAGTTCGCCACTGAATGTCAACAAGGCAATGAGAAAGGACAGCTGGAAAGGTTTCTATGCAGTGGTAAAGAAATTACTTCCAAATACAGCATGTATTAAATTTAGTTTTAACAAGACCATTATTGTGTTTTAAATGAATACCAATTGATTATTTGAAACATATTTTTTTGACTAACAACTATGTAGTAGATACGTATCTACAGCTTCATTGTCAACCCTCAGGAAGAATGTTTTTAATAATTTCTATATTACCATAGAACTGCCTTATTTAATCTGTACTGCATGCACATGAGAAGAATTGAGAGGGAGTAATTTCTAAAGCAAATGCCTCCTTGTCCAGAATAGTGGTATGACTTTTTAATCCACACAGCCTTTGGTCAGGAACTTTCTGAAGTGGCCTGATAGTAGTCTTCATCTCTTCATCTCCTCATTTGGTTAAAGGGTGGTACAGGAAGCCTGTTGGCAAGAAGGCCATTACAAGCATCACTAACCTTAAATGTCCAGCAGTCCAGGTACTGGAGGGTTCTGGGAAAACAGCTAAGATTAGAACTTGGAGGAAGAGAAAGAGCAGAGCTTGCATATTTTCCCAGGCTACCCAGATCTTTCTGCTCTCTCACTCCTGGCATGGCCCCCAGTTGGCCTTGTTTTTTTCCTAGAGTTATTTCATTAAAATGCAGTTAAAATATCCACAGAAAACTATTTTTTTTCAATTTAAGTAGTTATTTATTTATGTTGAAATTTATTTCAAAATTTTACTGTGCAATAGCTATAAGACGATACGTTAAGACATATCAAACTGTGTAATAGGCAATTGTAAAATAAAAACCTATCTATTTGTGCCCATCTTCAGAGATGAGACATTAGTACTAGAACCTTGAAACACCCTGGGCATCCCTCTCATATCTCTCTTCTTTCTCCCCAGAGGAAATCAGCAATCAGTCATCTGAATCTGGTCTTGATACTTGCCTTTATTTTTTCTTTATAATTTTCTCACTGTGTTTGAATCCTTAAACAGTATGTTGTTTAGTTTTACCTTGATTTAAACCACAGAACTGAATCATGCCTAGTGTGCTCCACTGTGACTTGATTCTTTTGCTCAACATTCCTACTCTGATTATAGTGCATAAACCCTGTTGTCCACATTGAAGAGAAATTGCAAAGACTGACACGTATCTGCTGCCAGGGTATAAACTAGAGCACAACCATTGTCATCAGTACTCCCTTCGTGCCCCTCTCTAATGACATCCTTCCTCTCTGCTGCTTCAGGCTGACCAGCGTCCTGCTTCAGCCGGAATCATTCCCTTGTGACTTACAGTAAATGCATTCCTACATCTAACACTTGAATTTTGCTTTTTTCTAAATTTTCTATAAATGGATTCATATTCTTGTATTCTATAGGATTAGAATCTTTAATTTAATGTTAGAGTCATTCATGTTAATGTGTAGTTGGGGTTGTTTCATTTTCACTTCTTTCTGATGTTCTACTGTAAGTCTGTATCACAACTTATTTATCCATTTTGCTGTTGATGGGCAGTGAGGTTTTCCTCTCTGGGGACATAATGACGAGTCCTGGTAGGAACACCTGGTGCACAGGTAAAGAGTTCTTTAGGCCCCAGAGTCTACTCTGGGCATAGGCCTTGGAGGATGAATTCTTCAGCTATGTAGATAGTACAAGATTGTTCTATGAAGTGATTTGTCCCACTTTACATTCCATCAGCATTAAGTGACAGGTGTCAAGCTTGTTCATGTCCTATTTTCTGTTGCCAACCTGGTGGGAGTGAGATGGTATCTCACTGTGCTTTTTATTTGCATTTCCCCTATTACTAATGAATTTGAGCAATTTTTTATAGTTTATTGAGCATTTCTTTTTTAAAATTTTAATTATTGTTTAAGTACAGTTTTCTATCTTTTACTCCCATCCCAGCCCACCCACCCAGCCCTCCCCCTCCCTCCCATTTCCACCCCCCCTAGTTTTTGTCCATGTGTCCTTTATACTTGTTCCTACAAATCCTTCCGCTTTTCCTCTGAAATTCCCTCCCCTCTCCCCTCTGTATTTCTGTTTTCTCCTTGGTGAACTTCATATTGATGTCTTTTGCCTAACTTTCTACTGGGTTGTTTGTGTCCTCTTTCTGAAGTGTATGGATTTTAAATATATTTTGTTAGTATTTTTACTTGTTTTTGATGCAAACATTTTTACTGTTTGTGACTTATCTTTCACTGTCTTCATGGCATGTTACAATTTTAATGAGTTGGAATTAATCAGTCTCTTTGTAAGTTGTTTAAGAAACTCTTCCTTTCCATGAACTCATAAAAATATTCTCACATTGTCTTTTTAAATGTTATAGCTTTCCTGTAACTAGGAAAAGGTGGTCTTCAATAAGCTTCATTAAAGCTTATTTATATCTTTAAGATATCTAGAGTTGAGTTAGGGACAATGTTTTTTTTCTTTCTCTCATTTTTTTTTCAATGAGATTGCCAATTGTTCCAAATGGCATTAACCCCCTCCTGCGATCTGCAGTTTCACCATTGTCATTGTCACAGATCAGGTCTCCATGACTTTTTTACTGGGCTATCACTCTTTTTCATTCATTTCTTGTGTATCCACACACTGACCCCATGCTCCATTGCATTGGCTTTATAACAAGTCTTCATATCAGGGACGCTGCCACCTCCCCCAATATTCACCCCATCTTCATATTTTCTTCACGAGTGTATTAGCTGTTATTGACACTTTGCTCTAATATAAAGGACTGATTTCACTTGTCACATTTTACACACACACCCAAGGGGATTTTTTCCTAAGGAAAGGAGGTTTATTCATAAATTTGGGGGTGATGTACAGCTGTCTGTATTTTCATGCATATAGCCCACATAGCCATGGCATGCACACTTGACTTCAGGTGAGTCCTCACCCAGATTAACCAAGAAAATGTCAAAATGAATCAGGTGACTGCAGCCCGGAACTGAAGTAACTCCATCATCAGGCCACATTGTCCTGTCAAACCTCAGAAAGCCCTGCACAGCTGTGTGTTGCAGATAATCATCATTTACTAAGTTTCCTTTTATAAATTTACCTTTCTCCTTTTTAATTGTGGTGAGAACATTGAACATGAGATCTGCCCACTCGCATTTTTAAGTGTGCGGTACAGTCTGGTTAATGTTGGGTGCAGCATTGTGCAGCTGGTCTCTGGAACTGACCCATCTCGCATAACTGAGAGTTTATGCCCATCAGATGACAGCGCCCCATTTCATGCTCCCCGGTCCCTGGAGCCACCTTGCTGCTCCCTGCCTCAGTGACCTTGCCGACTTTAGACGACTCACGGAAGTGGAACCATGCGATACTCATCTTCCCATGACTGGCTGATTTCACTCCACACAACATCCTCAGGTTCATTCATGCTGCCCCACATGACAGGACTTTCCTCTTTGTTAACACCGAATAATATGCTCTTGCAGGTGTACACCGCATTTTCGTTATCCTTCGTTCATCGGTGGACATTTAGGTTGTTGGGATTTTCCTTTAAATTATATTAATACAAATTTCAGTTTGGGGAAAACTTATATCTTTACAGTATTGTCTTTGAAACCAGGGATAATACAGAAAATCCCACCAATATTTTTCTTCAATATATATTTTTAAAAATATTTTATTTATTTATCTTTAGAGAGGAAGGGAAGGAGAGACGGAGAGAAACATCAATGTATGGTTGCCTTTTGTGCATCCCCTGCTGGGAACTGGCCTGCAGGGAACCTGCCTGCAACCCAGGCATGTGCCCTGACTGGGAATCGAACCGCAACTGTCTGGTTGGCAGGCCCGCGGTCAATCCACTGAGCTACACCAGCCAGGGCTTCTTCAATATATTTTAATGAAGTTTTGATCTTTTTCTGGAGCAGGCTTGCATATTTTTTGTTAGATTTAGCCTAAATACTTTATACTCTTGCTTGCTAAAGTAGATGGAAAAAATGCTTTTCCGAAAGTGCTGGTGTACATACTTGAAACTGGTTTCATGTTTTAATTTTGTGTCTTGTAAACGTATTACTTTAGATATGTTTCTGTATAGTCAATATATACAATCATTGTCTGAAAATGATTATTTTCTTCTGTGGTTGTTGGAAGTTACATAGCTATTTCTCGTGTTTTAATGGCTAGGCTAGCTATTGTAATATGTATAATTAAAGTCTAACATTAATCAATATCTTGCTCCCGAGTGATACAAGAAATTTAAAATTCTTTAGCTCCAAATAGCTCTTTTTTAATTCATAGGCTTTGTTGACCACTATTTTAGTCCTCTCAAATTAGGCATTAATAATATTTTAAATAGACTTACCTGCCTCTTTGTCACTCTCTTTGCTAAACTGTTCTTTCTTTTATCTCAGACTTTTCTCTGGTATCATTGCCTTTCTACCTGAAACACATCCTTTAGTGAGGGTCTGGTATAGTAAACTTTCTCAGATTTTGATCATCTAAAAGTGACTTTATATAATCTTTGTTTTTAATAGATGTTTTTCTTTCTGGGCTTAGAATTTTTGGTTCACAGCTAACTTCATCATTTTAAAGATATTTTCCTACTGTCTTCTGGTTTCTGATTGTTGTATTAGCAAGTAAGCTTTTGATATAAATATGATTTATTTGTATTAGAGCCACAGTTAGTAAACCTTGGGCAGTATCACTCTCTACTACATCCCCTTTATGTATTTTTCATCTTTGTCTCTTATTAGTTTAGGGAACTGCTATATATTTTTTTACTTCCAGGAGTTCTTTTGTATTCTTTTTCAAGTCTTCTTGGTCTTTCAAAAATGTGATCTCTTATTTCTTGTTCATGTTTCTGAGCTTCTTATATATATATATAAACATATATAATAATGACATATTCTGTTGCCAATAATTCCAACATCTGAAGCACTCAAAGATGTATTTTGCTCTCTGTGGCTTTGCTATCTCTCATTCATGATGCCTTTTTTCCCTGTGTCCATTGTACTTAACTATGAACCACTTATTGTCCTTGAAACGTTTTTGTTTTGTTTTGTGTGTGATGATCTTCAAAGTCTGGGTTGACTCTCTTCCCTTTAGAGAGTATTTGCTTTCTCATCTGCAAATCACCTGGACACATCATCAAGCAACACTTAGCTTAAATCTAATTATTGAGGGTTTAAAATATATATATAGCTATGACAGTTTGGTTACCGTACATTCAGGCTTAAGCTAATGAATTATTGGCAGACAGTTTCTTTTCCCCCCACCAGTCAATGCCAAGGTCAAGAAGAACAAGATTCTATGCATCTGTTTTTAATTTCTTCTTAAATATTGATCACTCATTTGGTGCACTGAGAACCTTTGAGTTCATAGATTTATTCCAATTTTCCTATCAGACCCTTCACCTTCCATGGGTTCAGTTTTCTTCCCTGTTTCTCCATACTCGGTGCAGCTGTCAAAGGTGACTCTCAAAGGAGGAAGTTGTGTCAGAAATCCTTTTAACAAAAGTAGGATTTTAGTGCCCACTTACCCTCCCAGATTACTGTTTTCATTCATTGTTTTGTCCTCTGAGGATTCTCCACTCCTGTATCCACTCAATAATGCATTTCAGCACAATTTACTAAGCATTTCAGTCGTTTTTGTCATGAAGATAATTTCAATATTACTTTATCATATTGCTGTCATGACACACTTTTTAAAATCATTAAGTATGACATCAAATTTATGTTTTATGCCACTTCTGTCCGATCATTAAACTTCTAAATATTTTATGAATATACATTCTTTAAACTATATACCAGTTAAAATAGAAAACTAGTATGTATGACAAATCATTGAAGTTTAGGTTGTGTTTGCTTTTCTTAGTGGTAAAAAATGGGAGAAAGCCATTTTGTCAGTTATTGGTTGAATAAGTTATGATTAGATGGATTTCTGATGGTCACCGTGTTTTCTGTCCATCTGTGCCAGAGTCTGCTCTCTGTTCCATAGACACAAACCAAAAGTTTACTTTTTTATTCAAACATCCTGTCACTTTGGCTTAAAATTATCTACTATTCACTGTCTAAGCCAGCATGAATTTTGGAGTTTGACTAACCTTGTGTATGTCAATAACAGATGGTAGTATTCATTTCATTATTTGGTCGATTGACATAAAACAAAAATGATCAAGCTTTCAATGTTTCAAGGATACAGCTTTAACAGGAGAGAGTCTAAAGGCTTTGGGGATAACGTAAATATTTATCACATTCTGCTTTGGCTGTGTATACAGGATGCATGTGCACAGTTTGTAATTGACTGAAAAAACCTGAGCATGCTATCGAATGTTTAGCATTTGAAAACTCTTAACCTCATTTTGATGTGCATTTCATAACTTGGACAAAAGCAATATGTGTACATGCATCAGAAGGAAAAGATTACTACAGTTTCATTCTCAAGTTGTTGTGTAACTGGCACTCCAACATATGAGAATGAACATGAATTCAGGGCTGGGAAGCCCTTACTCTCAGGAAGACATGGTCTTCTGCCCATACTATCAGTCAGAGCCCAGGAGTACTTTCATCTCACTGGTGACTGTAAGACCTTGATGTCTCTGAGAAAAATGTGCGTGTATCATCCAAGGCAAAATGTGGATCTGGTAGGTGCGCCAGCCGCGAATTATCTCACAGACTGGTTATTGTCTTTTCCACTTGCATAACTCTCACAGCATATGCCAATTATTATGCCAAAAATAAAAACCGAGCAAGGAAAGCATTAGAGCTGCAGATCCATTCCAAGTTCAAAATTCCAATTATCAAAGCCTAAACACAAGCCTTTTATTAAAAACCCCACTTTGATCTGCACTGTAATTGGCACACTTTCTACTCAGTGACACTGGCAATTTAGTCTTGCATTTCCATTGCATTTCCCTTCACTGGCAGCATGATAGCAAGCTGAGTGCTCTGCTTGGTGGAGACAGAGCTCCAGATGAGCTTTGGACCCACCTCAGACTGGGGCTCCTCTGCCATTTGGGGGTGCAGGCTCTGCCCTTTTTCATGGAGGTTTCTCAAGACCAGCTTCCTTTATTACCTGCTCATCAACATGCAGCTTAATTCTTTAGCTGCCAATAGTTAGATGTATTCTAAATTTTTTCAGGGTGTTGGTAACATCAGACTGCGGTTTGTAAAAGTAATTTGGTTTTAGTTCTAAATTGGTAATTAAATCTGTTGACAGTAAATGAAAGTGACTTTATGAAATTTTAAATCTGGTGGTATAATGAGTTCTTCATAGAGAACATAAATATTTAATTTCTCTTAGTAACAGAACAGAGGCTATAAAACCTCCCCCAAATGTACTTGATACCAGAGTTAGAACATTTCTTGGGTGGGTTGGTGGCCCTGGGAGACTGGTTCAGGGAGAGCACGAAGAACCGGGACTTCCAGACCACAGATCCAGAGACAGGTTCCTTCACCAGAAAGTAAAATCTCCCAACAGTCTGTGGCTATTACATTTTCTCTTTCTAAATACAGACCTTATATAAAGATAGTAAATCTACAACTGGTGATGGAGGGGAAGAGGGATGTAGGTATAACACTGGAATCTATACCATCCAACTTCAAAGAAACATTCTAAACATGCACTATATTACCTTTTGCAGCAACACTGTGAAGTTGTTATGAATATTCCCATTTTGCACAAGGGGAGCCTGGGCTCTGTAGAACCTGAATAACTGATAGCAGGTCATATAGTTACTGGTGGTGGGTCCAGGAAATCAACCTAAATTAAGTAGCCAGGTCTAGGATCTGTGCTTGGTTTCAGGTTTCTCGAACTCCAGATGGATGCTCAGTCAGCAGATCCTCATGTGATGGAATCTCTAACAGTGAGAGCCAAGTAATTCATAACAATAAAAAGAATAATAACAATGAATTCGATAAGGAGGCACAAAAGATAGAGTAGAAACCAAATAAAGAAATGATATCATGGGAGGAATTTTCTTAATTTGGAAGAGCAACTTGAACATGGCACAACCCCCAAGGGTTACTTCCTCTAGCCTGGCTATGCTTTTCATACAATGGTGTGACAACTATGATTCGGTACCTTATGTGTGCCAGACCCTGAGGTAGGTACTTGAGGAACAGGGTGGTGTAAGAGACAGGTAACCATCTTCACCTTGAAGAACTTCTGAATCATGAGGAGAAGTGGCTGAACAAAGTACAGCAGGTGTTTGGGAGAGTCTGTTGAGGGCTGACAGTGATGGTATGGGGGGTGGGAGGTCTGGAAAGATCTGGAAGGTCTGGAAAGATCTCCAAGGACTGTTTGTGGCAGATGGAAGAACCTACAGGGCAACTCTGGAATGTGCCTTTGAGAGGACATTTATGAGTGTTATGCCCAAGGCAGAGTGACGTGATTGCACTTCTGAAGTGGGAGAGGCAAAAAATGATGGAATTCACTGTGATAGCTCTGGAAAGCAATGGAAGGGTTTTATACAGGGCCAGGATAAGGTTATTTTTATGATTTAACTCAGACTGGAAACTGGGTCAGTGGGGAGACCAGGACAAGATGGGAAGTGTCGGTGGCTTGGAGGAGGGCTGGAGCAGTGAAGGTGGAGAGAGGTGGGTGCACAGTGTGTGAGAGGGAGATCTCCCAGACATGGTGATGGACCAAACAGGGGGAAAGAGGGTTTAAGAGACAATGCCCAGATTACAGGTATTTTGTAGCTTTTTGGCCTCCTACATTCTTGGCAAACATCTGCGTGCCCTCAACTCTTTCCTCACAATGTCCCCAGTCAGTACAGGAGAGAGACCAGCCAACAGGGGGCTTTGAGGGACAGGTGAGCATGTGAACACAAAGGTGATTTGAGACTTTTTCAAAAATAACTACATCAACTTCTTGTTTTTCTTTCTCCCTGGGAATAAAAATAGGAGAACTCACTGTGAAAGAACCCAAGTTTCTTGATTTTGAAGTCAGAAAAGAAATACGACTCGTTGTTTTAGCTGAAAGCAATGGGCATAGGGCCTACAGCAGAGTAGCCGTGTTGATACAAGATGTGAATGATAATTCACCGCACTTCGGGCAAAGCGTTTACCAAGTACTGCTGTCTGAAGGCCAGTTCTACAATGCTCCCATCATACAGGTAACAGAAGCATGTTTTGTGCATGCATGTATGTGGATTATCATGAATCAATATGTCAGGTCTTTTTTTTGAGCACATAAATTAAAGTTTAAATCTTTGCAAGTCATGTCCAGTGTTTGGTGGGTGAATGGAACATTGGGTTAAAGGAAGTTTGGCGTTTCTGAGTTCACTTGTCTTCCTCTTAGTTTAGTATTCAACTTGTGCCCACCTGCCTACTCTGGGGACTTGAACCCTAGCAGGGAATCTAGAGGGGCACAAAAGTCAACTCGTTTGATAAATGCATACAATGTAGCAGGGAAATCAGAAATGTAAGTATATCATTTAAATGCACGTAATTAATGTCACAATACAAGTGTGCATTTAATGTGTTGAGAGAAAGGAGGGGATGCAAACTCTTCCTGGTGGAAAGCATAGGACTTCACAGGAGAAGGACATTTGTATCAGGCCTTAAAGCGCATTTAGGTGTTTCCAAGAGGAGCTGCCGCCAGGCAAGTGTGAGATGAGGCACAGATGCATGGATGCGCTGCCCGAGTCTGAGACATGCAGATGTTTTGTGTGCGAAAGGAACAGATGCACTGTTCTCAGGCCTGCAGGTCTGAGGCTGCAGGTCCTGGGAGAGAATCCATCCACCAGGCTGTGTGGCTGCGGCTCTAAGTCCCACTCTCCTGGGTAGTCTCTCCACCTGGATGGCACAGAGTATAAAAATAAGCTTAAAGAATTTAAATTCATCTGTCAACTCGTTCATAAACAAGATCTTGAATTCACTAGTGGTTCTGTGATCAAAATGTAGTGCAGACCAAATAATATATCTCTATGGAGACCAACGGATAACTTTTGCCCTCAATACCACTTTGATAACTTGCCATCTAAATGATCAGGGGGTAAATTGGTTAGCATTAAATCAACTTTGTTCTGTCTTTTTAAAGATCCTTTTAGAAAGAGACTCTCAATATAATATTAAAAAGTCCAAGTATGGCTTCCTTTACAGGCGACGCTTTAAGCAGTAAATTAAAAAAAGCAAATGATGGATTACCGTTCACTACATGGAGGTTTCCTCTATCATTTCTTTCTTTTTCTAGTGCTAGACTGAACCCACATATGGTACTGGAAGCTTTCTATTCAAGCAACTAGATTTATTTAAACTATGTTTTTCTCTTGCCTAAAATTGTAGCTCAAAACATTTGCGACTCCTACCGAAAGTTACTTGGAAATCCTTTGAATGAGTACAGACTTGTTTCCTACCCATTACCCACTTCATTGTAAAGTGACATGTAAACTTCAACAGTTTGTTGGTATTTCTTTGATCATCATTTTTTACATGCGTTTGACAGTCTGTGATTCTTTCATAATGCATTTCTTGAAAAACTGACATAACTCACGTTGCAGAATAAATCCTTATCTCATGCAAGGGTCGCTTCCTCACAGGTTTTTGCTACTGACCTGGACAGTGGGTTGAATGGCCTCATCGAGTACTCCATTCTCCCTGGCAACCAAGGACCAGCGTTCCGGATTGACGCACAGAGCGGCATGGTAACAGCAAGTGGGATTCTGGATTACGAGTTGACCGACTCCTACAGGTTTGTCTCAGGTCCAGATCCGCTTGATCAGTGACCTGCTTTGTTTCTGACATTATTGTTGCTTTGAGCTTGACTTCCTTTACTATAAACTTAGTTGTAAAATGTGTTTTCCCTTTGATCCAACTTACGATCACCCTTTGGATATACTGAATCTTAGGAAGTATCTGAAGTTTGGGAAAGGTGATTAGACTAGAACTTTAAGGTTTTTTCTAGTTCTAAGATTTCATGAATTTATGATGCCATTAAGAAGTAAATGGGAGACTTTTAAAAAATCAGTATTTGTAAAATGTCTGTTGAACCATTGAGTACTCTGCAAACATTTGTTCTTATTGTTTTGAAAACAGCGAAGACTGAATGACGTCTCTCTTTTTAAGTCTTTATTCTCCTTTTGTGTACAAAATTATAACCCTTGTCACCAGGACCCTCATTGCAGAGCTGCATTCTAATAGAAATGATCTTTTTGAAAGCACCCATGAAACATTAAACATTTTCTTTTTGGTCTGGAGTTCAAGATATGCCAGCCTTATACAGAACTCGATAAAAGGGAGAATAATGATGTTACAAGTCTCCTAGGTATTTAAAATGACGGTGCTATAAAACTCTAGCAATACAAACAGAGACATTTATGGCAACTCAGTCTGTAAAAAAAAAAGATGAGGGAACCTAACATGGCTGTGAATGGGGTCTGCTTTAAGAATGAGGGCCAAGTCTTCCGTGGAATACAATGAAACTGATTTTCAAAGAGGAAGAGGTACAGCTGTATGTGCTAATGAGGACAGAGCACTAGGGTGTGTGACTACCCGGACAAAATAACAAGGAGCACCCTAGTGTTCATACAGCAGGGTGTTTGACCAAAAGCACACCCACATAATCAGGAAGACTTCAGGAAGAAAATGAAAGGAACTGTTAACCTTGTTTGACTCTGGAGACGTGGTCATGTGAGAAGTGTGGGGATCAAAGAGATGCTTGACTTTCTTATTTCTTATTTTAATATGCTCCGTGTTGTTGTCCTATTTCTGTATCTTCCTCCAAAAGGCCTTGCACATCCTTTAATCCTCCCAGTCATCTCCCAAGGAGGCCAAGCTGGGCAATCTCTTATTCACTGAGAAGTCAACAGATACACAGTGGATTGCTCAGGGTCACAGACTCATTCACTGGTCCTTCATGGACTTGTGGCCAAGTATTCGGATTCTGAGTCACACTGTCTCCACTGTATGCGACACAGAGCTGACCTTCTGTTTGGGGTGGTGGGGGAAGATTTACAAAAGACCTAGGTGTCAATAGCTCCCCAGGCTCTGCTACATTTAGGTTTTACTAGGAGACTGCAGGATACCCTTGTGGGTGAACAGAGAGCTGATTAAAATGGGTCCATTACTGGAGGATTGGATTCACTAACCTCTGAAAAACTTTCTAACTCTAAAAGTTTAAGTGCTTCATTCTTTTTTTAAATATACTTCAAAAGTATTTTTAGAAACTTTAAGACCTTACCCTGTATTAACTAGTAGAGTTTTGGATAACATTTTGTTATCAATCTTTATCATGCTTATTATATAAATATATTAAAACTGTGTGTTCAAACCAGTTCCCGCCACTTGGCTTCCATAGTTAGTATAAGCACTAAGCTTTTTTCTCTCTCCATAGGTGACTACAGGTAAATCTCAGCCTAGTTGCCACCTGAGTGATTACACATTCAGAGTTCATTTAAGGTCTACTGTGATCCAAGAACTAAGCCTTTCCTGATCATAGATTTCTGTTACAGTGTCCCTCTTACTCAGTGAATGAGCCTAATTAGCATTAAGTCTAACTCCTTCCAGTTTTTCCTATGTGCGTCATAGTTTCAGTGTTCCTGACATTTAACTTGGTTCCAGTATTTAAGAGTGTCCCTCCCCTGTTCCCCGAGAAGAATTTAACTCAAGGCTGGGAGGACCTAGAGAAGTCGAACCCAACACATACAACCAGAGATACACACACACACACACACACACACACACACACAGTCTCCAGCTGGGATCCTCACCTTCTCCCTGGGGCTTCACTTCCTCTTTATCTAACATTGAAGTGCTTTACCTAATTTTTAATGCAGTGGAAACTATAGGATGATCTCCCCCTAGCCTGTTCTCCCTCTAGTGAATGCCTTGGAAAAGGAATTATTTAGCTTTTAACTTTACTTTTGAACTATTGTTATTTTGTCTGATTAAGGAAAATATTTTTAATTCTAGTCCTCTGTTTTACAATATAAAATGGGGGGAGGGGAGAAACAATATTGTCACTTATGCTTGTATTGAATATAAATGTATTAAATAGAAATTAAATAATTTTTAGCCCTTATATTAAGCCACATGTAAGAAAACTCAGTAGAAAGATGATGGCAAATTATAAAACAGAACTTAAGTTGTCTGACTGGTATTCCTGAATTTAAAAAACTGTTTACCAAGCTTGGGATATAAAGATTTTTGAAATAGTTCTTATTTTCAGGGAGCTCAAAAATTGAGTGCATTTATAATCCATGGCAGGAAGCCTATTAATAATCGCAATAATTTATGGAGCACCTGCATTATGTATTGAATTCCCATAATAGACTTAAGATTTACATAAGAAGGAAACTGAAGTTTTTAGAGAGGTAAGGTCTGCCAAAATGATGTAGCTAGTAAATGATAGAATCGAGATTGTCGTCGGTGTGAGTGGTCATAGTAGGGCTTCCTACTGCATCATGTGAATGAATCTTAGAAGTACACATCTGTATTTGACAAAGCACAAAAATTACTTTGGAAATTTAAAATAATAATAATACTATAAGTTCCAGCTTGTAGTTGTGAACTAACACAAGTCTAGGAATAAGCGTGCAAAAATGGAACTTGAATCATTTGAAAGCATTTGCACTGCTTGAGTGATAACTGACAAGGAGACTTATCATTCCTATTCAGATGGATAATTTGGATAGTCCTGGGAGACTTGTGACACTTTGGGGCCAAGATCTTTATTGTTATCAAAGTAATATGCTTTTTCCAATCAAGCAGTAGCATAGAGTCTATCAACAGACTGAGATGAAAGGCAGTCACTATGGCATCACCGGAGACTGACATTTTGAACTACTTTTCTCCATTATTACAAACACCAATATGTCTCAATTTATAATTTTAAACATTATCTCTCAACTTCCTGTTATAAGAGATACGCATTTAATATTTTGACCTTGTTCTGTCCAATTCTCTCTCTATATTCATTCATTGGTTTTCATCTTATTAATAATCAGTGTTCACATTATATCATTCTATAAATGTTTACTTTAGAGCCATGTCTTACCCATATTCCCTTTCTTACCCTTCCTCTGTCCCAAAGTTAATGGTTTATCTTTCTTGTTTGCTCACCCGCTTCGCTACATCCACGGCCTTCATTCCTTGTCAGTGCTCCAGTAATTCTGTCATGCTCACCCCTGCTTCCCCACAGGTGCCTCTCCTGTCCAATGTTCTGTCAAGTCCTCGTTGCTCCCTGGAGACCTGCTGCTCTTTGCCCTCCTGGTCTAGCGTCGACCACCTGCATGGGCTTTCAAGCCTTCTGCAAAGCTTTACTTTGCTCTGCTGCTCTCCTAAGTTGAGCCCATGCCACAGATACCATGTCTTCCTCCTAGTGTTCTCTTCCAGTAGCTTTGTAGGAAGAAGTGCCAGGGAAGTAAATTCTCTGAGTTCTTGTGTATCTAAAAATGCCTTTATTCTTCTTTCACATGTGATTTATACAATGGGTAGTATGGAAGTTGAATTTTTTAAAAAAGAATTCTGAAGGTATTATTCTGTTATCTTTTTAAACTGAGTGTTCCTGTTGAGAAGCCGGGTGGCATTCTAATTATACGTTTTGTAAATGATTTGTTTTTTTCCTTCTCTGTGGGAGTTCTTGGGTTATTTTCTTTATCCCTAATGTTTAGAAATTTTGTGATTATATACTGTGATGTGCGTATTTCCTTGTGCTAAGTACTTGGTGTGCTCTTTTAAGAAAAAGAAATCTTTTGATTTTCTTATATTATTTCATTGATAATGACCTCTTCTGTTTTTGTTGTTGTCATTGTTTTGTTATGTTTTCTTTTCTTACTTTGCACTCTTTTTTTCCCCTGGACCGTATTCAATCAATTGTTGGACTGCCTGGACCGTATTCAATCAATTGTTGGACTGCCTGGACCATCATTTGTCAATAATATTTTATTTTTTGTTTTGTGCATCGGGTTATTCTTGTTTTATTTTTCAGGGAGAATGCCTTCATTTTAACCTTCCAAACTTTCTTTTTTGTTCTAGTTAAAAAAAACATTTTCAGATATTGTTTATATTTTCATTTCCAAAAGTTCTTCCTTGAACTTGAGCTTTTCTGTGGCATCTCATTCTCGATTTATGCACGTATCATCTTCTGATTCCTCTCCAAGGACATTAATTAGAATTATCAGAATTGTTTTTACATTTTCTTTTGTACTTTCATGTTCCCTAGTTCCTGTGGGTTCATATCTTCTTTTTGTCGATTTTGCACTGTCTTTTTCATGCTGGAGGCTTTCAGTAAGCCACTGGTAATTCTTGGTTCCAAGAGAGACAATACCAAAGGCGTGGGGTTCTCTGAGTGGGCCAGAAGGGCTTACTGACCAGCACACTTTACTTTGGAATGAAGCGGAGAGGGAGCGGATGGCTTTCCAGGATGGCATACAAATGACAATATAGAGAGAGGGTTTTTTTCCTTTGGAGGGGCTTTCATTTCTCCAGGCACAATCTCTCAATATTACTTATTCTGAGTTTGATCATCAGGAATTCTTTTGCCTGGCAGTGAAAAGCAATAGGCAAGGGGACTTCATTGTTCTGTATTTCGAGTTTAAAATAATTTTCCAGCTATTTTTTAGCTCTTTCTCACCTTACTGTTTGCCATTCCTTGAGCTTCTCTTTGGATAAATGGGAGAAAATCTGTTTCTCACTCATCCTGATCTCTCTCCAAATGCATTTTAATCTGTGCTTTCCTCTGACCCACTCATGAATAACCACTTCCTAATCTGCTTGCATTTTTCTGAAATTTGTTAAAACTTCTCAGCCACTCCACCCACTAATATCTTCTCCCATTTCTTTTTAGCTTTATGGACATATATCTTATTTTAAATTCTTTTGCTATCATTATAGTAGAATCTCAGGGAGAAGAGAAGATAGAACTGTGTAGATGTAACCAGAAGTCATTGCTCTTCTTTTCATAGGTGTTTCTCATAGTGGCTGATATCTTGGTTGTTTTACTTTTTTCAATTTTTTGAAAAAAATTCAGAAGGAACACCTCCTTATTGGTACACATTTAAGATACTGTTGAGAGAGAATTTTGAAAAGTCCTGTACTAACTTCTTTAGTATTTGTTAAAGTAATCAGCAAAGATCCTACCTGGTCTAAGCCTCATTTAAACTTGAACGTGGTAAAAGAAGTTTCCCCTGGATAGGGCAGCAGAAAACTGCTCGGGACTACACGGGCTGTTCTAAGTCTGACCACTCTCACCTACCATGTCTGTTGATGACATTCATCAGGGTAGCAGTTCTGAGACATGGAGCCAGTGGACTGCCTACAACCAACAGTTGCACAAAGACTGCCCAGGAGCCATCATACGAAACTCAAGGTCTTGCAGAGGTTGTGTGTAGAGGATCTGCCTTTGTAATTTTTCTTTTATTTTAATCTATTGAAAAACCTTTTACTTGTCCTTTTATTTGGAAACTGAATCATATATTTTTCTCCATATCAAAGAGACCCACTTTTTTTAACCTGACATAGGCATTCATAGAACCCCTGAAGTTGTAATGTTGTGAAAATAAGGGTGGTTATGGCTAGAGTGGAAGAATTAGACATAACTTTGATGTTTTGGCTGAGATTTTAGTATGACACTGGGGCAGGGAAGGCAGCAGGGGAAGAGAACATTATGAATGTATTATTTTTAGTAAAGTATTTCCATATGTACCTGACTTACGTTCATACTAACAAAGCAAACTTTCCACATGAAATTAGTCCTGGGCTCCAGAAGTGTGAAACTCAAGTTGATATTGTACTGACGTCCCTTCATCGATAGTGTTGAAGGCAGCCTGTGTACTTCATGAATGCTAGATAAAAAGTAACCATTTGCTATTAAGTGAAATTTAAACCAAGAAAGAGTTGTTACTTATTTTACATCACTTTTAAATTTAAAGTTGGAAAGAAAGAAGACTTATTAGGTATCAATAGAAAAGAAAGAAAAAGTATGTCAACTTCCAAGACTCAGTTTCTCAAATGGTAGCATCAAGAGCTGGCTAAAATTAATACCACCTCTGAAATAAAGACCATTTCTGACTTACAACTCCCTTTAGTCCTCAGTGACCCACCTGGACCTCCCAGTCTTTAGAGGAAAATGAAAAACAAGCTGATGATTATGCACTAAAGAGTTATATATACATAGGAAGAGAGGCAGGTTGAAGGAAGATTACATAGACAGTTGAGCACAAGCTTTCCAGTCAACCGAGAGCTGGGCTTGAGTCCTGGCTCTGTGATATAATACAGTTATAATCACGGACAAATCTTGAGAAACCACTACTCAACATATATCAAAGAAAAACAAATAAGGTAGCCCATCTACCTTATGGAAGGGACTGACTAAGAGCTTATGGAAGAGACTGACTAAGAAATTGTTAAGAACAAAGGTTGATGAATGTTATGGCAGAAGAATGTACAGGGTTCTATGGGACAGAGAATGGACATTCAAATCAAATGAAAGGTCACTGAAAGCTCACTGAATGTGTGAGCTTTGAAAGACCAAGAGCACGTAGGGACTGGTATCCAGGCAGAAGTCAGATCATAGAAGGTCATGTGTACACATGTTCAAGGTTAGTGCTGCCTCCTTGTAGACATGGAGAACCAAGGAAAGTTCTTAAATAGGGAGTCAGGTTTTCATATCAGGATTTTAGATAGAGAATTGAGTTGCAACATGGGGGTTGGATAGGAGCACACAGGACTTTCAGAGAGGAGACTGGTGAGTAAACAAATACTCCAAGTGAGAAAAGTCATAATGAATATACACCTTTCCAGCTAAAAATGATGAGGCTACAGAACCAACTTGTCCTGGTTTGGCTAGGACTGTTCTAGTTTTTTTAAAGATCTGCAAGTCTTATGTTCCAGAAAATGCTTTAGTCCTTGATAAAGCAGGGTGGTTGATCAGACTTTCTGAAGCTCTGAAGGTAGAAGTGAGTGAGATTTTAAGTGATACTCAAGAGGTAAAGTCAATGAAACTCATAAGTAGTTGGGAGTTGCAAGGGTGGCAAAAGAACAGAAGTTGAAAACACTGCTGTTTCTAACTTGGTTGCTGGGGGAGCTAGTTGTATGATGATGATCCAAGAGAGATTGATTCACTGCATGTGAATTCTTTCAGATCATGAACTTTTATGTCTACTTTATAATGCTAGCCAATCATGTGTTTTCTGTATGTATATTAATCGTGGTGATTTCTTCTCTTAATTCTATAATTTTTATTGTTTTGCAATTTAGGTCTGAAAAATATATCAATATAAAGCAATCTGTAAGTGGCTATCTTTTGTCAATAACAGTAAAAGAAAAATATGTAGTAATTATCCATATACAGGCTGTATGTGGCAGAATAGAGAGACTCTATAAAAAAAAACAGATCATGGTGTTTGTATTGTTTAGATTGTTCTTAGTAAGAAGGGACTGAATTTGATGGTCAATCTCCTAGAAGTGGTGCACTGTTTTTGACATAAGTGACTCATGACCCCTGGCGGCTTGCTGGATTTGCTTCTCTAAACATGTCAAAAATAAGTAAATAAATTTCAGGTTACCTTTCTTATGAAATAAATTTTAAATGATACCATTCAGAAAAAAACCCAGGAGGAGAAATAAATGTAGCTAGTCAGCTCATTTTTAAATTTTCAACTGGAAATTTGATATGTATGTGGTTTTTCTTATTCTTTGGATGATGGATAACATTCTTTGATTCTTTTCCAAACCAGCTTGATTGTGCAGGCCACAGATAAAGGGATGCCCGGGCTTTCTGGTACTAGTGTGGTCAAGATACAGGTGACCGATGTAAATGACAATGCCCCAGTTTTTCTTCCCCTTGAAGCAGTGGAAGTTGCAGAAAGTAAGTGTGACAATTTGGAATCGGGGTTTTGATTAACTTGTGTGGCATCATCTACCATATTTTCAGCCAGTTGCTATATTAAATATAAATATGAATACTCAACAACATGCAACATAAATAGTTTTCATCTTCATTTTACAGAATAAAGTGTGGAGGGTCAAAAGCTAACTAATCAAATGTCAATGAAGTTCAAGGTTAAAGCTGGAATTTGCATTCAGATCAGCAGGACACTTCTCCATGCTCACACCACCATTTCACATGGGTTCTTTTTTGGTGCTCAGACATTTCATAAGAATGAAACTTACCATGTGAAGAAGCACATTCGGTTGACTGATAATCATCCTAAAGCTTCTCTGAGAAGAAGTGATCTTAGGCTGAGAACTCTGTCAGTCTTTGCAGTATACCAATGACAAGTAGTAAGTAAAGGGAAATGGATGTTCACCATATAAAGTCATCATTTTCCTCTAGTATAAACTAAACTTCAGTATCTGCAGAAAAAAATTACCACGTCAGTGGTAAAGGCTGCAAGTACCAAATTTTACATGATATACTGATTAATCTTACTTGTCTGGATTACATGATGACTCCATGGACATCTATCCCAAAGTTGCTTGTGGTCAATGGCCCCAGGGGTAAAACTCACCCAACTCACCCAACTAATAGTTGCAAATAACATGGTCCCTCACTAGCCTCTCTCCTTTCACTCTTTAAAAAAAGAGATTCATTTATTTAACTAATTATTTATTTATTTTTAGAGAGGGAGAAAAACAGCAATGTTTGGTTGCTTCTTGCACGCCCCCCAACTGGAGACCTGGCATATAGCCCAGGTGTGTGCCCTGCCTGGGAATCTAACTAGTGACTCTTTGGTTTGCAGGCTGGCATTCAATCCACTGAGCCACACCAGCCAGGGCTACTTTCCCAGTCAGGGCACATGCCTGACTTAATAACAAATTATTTCTAACATGTTGTTATCATTATATGTCCCTTTTCTAAACAAATTATAATCATCACCATTCACAGAGGGATGTATTTCAGAAATTTTTATATGTAGGGATCTCCACTCAATGTAAATATGCCAAAATATTCTATTAATTTAAAAAGTGTTCGGTTTTGCTTGCTACCAGTTTTGCTTGATATTTTTTCATGTGCTTTTACCAAAGGTACTAAAGTACATGCATTAACATCAAAACACAACAGTGCCCAGTACAAATATATCATAAGAACAAACAACATAAACTGAAACATATTGATTGGGGTAAGGTGTGGTTGGCACACATCAAGAACGTTCAAGCTTGAAATGTGAAATTATGAATCTTGTATACAATGGAATTATTCTCAATACCTTGGCATTTTCTTTCTCCCTGTACCATACATGGAGGCTTAAAAACTAAGTCCCTTCCATGGCAGTTTAAGCTACAGAACACATACAGAGTATGAGGCATTTAGCATGTCATTTATTTTGTGATTTGGGGGTGAATAGTATTAAAATTTTTGTTTTCATAACTGGCACAATGTCTACTTTGTCTTTCTATAGCATTGATAACTTTGAGAGTCATATTTTAAGGGAAGGAAGCAATGTGTGTATCGCTCCAAAAGAAATAATGTTATAAGCACAAGAAGCCAAGTATATATTATTTCTAACTTTAGTATCCAAGCATGTTCATTTCAATCTTCCCTATTTTTCAAAAGGGCATGTTTGTATTAATGTTTTGAGTAATAGCCTTCTTACCATTCCTATCCCCTATGAATATATGATCTCGATACAGAAAATATATAGCCCAAATAAGTGGCTTAGAGTGTTATTTGGTCCTGGAATTGTGTTGTAAACATACGATGAAAAATGTAATATAAAAATTGAATATACCCTACCTCCTCAATTCCCTACTCAGTGGTAAATTTTCACTTTTATTGGGCTTATAAATTCTTCAAAGTTTTTGTTTGGTTTATAATGAGCTTTGAGTGAGAAGTGATGCCAAGAAACGGCAAATCGTGTTGGACTTAATTTTTTTTTAAGTGCTCGGATTGAACTATTAAAGAAAAGTATTTCAAAGGTTGAATTTTAATGGAGACTGACATCGGTCATGATTATTTCAGATTCTTTGCCTGGTGTTATTGTGACTCGGATATCAGTTCATGATGTGGATCTGAATTCAGCTTTCATCTTCAGTTTTGCGAAAGAGGGTAATCCTGGAACCAAGTTTGCCATTGATCGGAACACTGGAGTAGTGGTACTGGTGGAAATGCTGGATTTTGAAGAAGCTCCCGAATATGAGCTGCTTATCCAAATTTCTGATTCAGTGCACCACACCGAGGGAGTACTTGTCGTCCATGTGTTGGACATCAATGATAATCCACCAGTGTTTTCCCAAGATTCCTACCAGGTAAATGGCTCAAAGAGATACTGAGACACAGCCCAAGTAAGAAAGCCTGCTGTTGTGGGCAGACTGACTTAGACATAGAGCAGTCACTGTGTGGAGTGCTTAAGTTGATGCTGAGCATTTTACATTTAGTATCTGGAAGATAGAAGTACATGTGAAATCAAACATAGCATTCTGTGCAGTTTCTTAAGTATGGATCATATGTCATCATGTGAAACTATGTCATCATTCTTCCAGTTTTCAGGGATTGGAGTCCAGTTGTTCACAGCAGTTGGAATTTGCTTCATCTTTTCAAAGTCACAGATGAGACAATAAGGTGTCTGGATTATCGGCAGTTACTTTAGGAAAGTGATTTTTCTCCCAGGGATATTTTTAGAATATTTTGGAATATTGATTAATATTTTGAAGAAACAAAGTATGAACAATAGTATATAACATGGAAGCTTGAGTTCTTATGTTGATAGAAGTAAAAACAATGCTACCATTCAACTAAGTGCTTGGAAATGGGCTCTAGGACTCCTGAATATAACTCATGCAAGGTTTCTACACAGAAGAAAAAGTAACCTGAGTAATAATCTTCTGTGAAGGCTTGTGAAATTATACAATGTAAATAAGGAATAATATATGTCGGTAAATGTACTAATGATCTGCTACCATACAGAAATAATTTAGGGGAAATTTGGGGGGGATAAAAATTGAAGCAATTAATTTTAAAAATATTTTTTCTAAAATCTTGGACCACTATATAATCTTCTTAATATGTCAGCTCTCTATATGAACATGCCTAATAAACTCAGGTTCACTGGGTATTTTCCATAAGCAAAATAAATAAAATGATCTCATGTTTTGGCCCCACCCATGAAAAGATCTCTAGCCTTTAAGCACAAAGTCCATGTCTCTCTCTTTGTCCCGCAGGTCACCATTCCAGAATTAGTGCCTGCTGGGGACTCTGTGCTAACGGTGGCAGCCACTGACTTAGAAAGCAACGAGTACATTTCTTACCGAATTCTTTCATCTTCTAAGGAATTCACAATTGATCCTATGAATGGTGAGTTATTTCTGGTGGCTTCAGTGTTTATAGGTTTGAGTTACAGGGTGGAAACCTGAAATAACACTTTCCTAAGGATTATTTATTATATGCTCCTCAAATACCCCTGTCCCTGGTATTATAGACACCGCCATCTTATTTTTTCCTTATGTCAAACGCTATGGTACCAAGTCCCCTTGTTGTTTCTTTACTCTGGCATCTCTGTGGCTGGGAGGCAAAAGGACTTGATTAAATGCTGGCAATGGCTCAGAAGTTCAGAGGCCCCCATACAGTGAACAGCCAGTTCATCAGTCTAACCAGGTACAGTTCAGGTAGTCATCCCAGGCCTCAAATGGAGCAAATAAAGTTGAAAGTTGAGAGGATTAAATAGTTCTGAGGACTTTATGTTACTGGAGTTTGGAAGCGTCTATTGAAGCCCAGTACAAAAAGTTCAGTAATAGCATCATACATTCAATAGGGACCAAAACAAAAAGAAAAAAATTATTTGGGCATCTTTACAAAGTAAAAAACATTGTGGTGTTCTGGCTTATTTGATGCCTTCCAAAGCTCTTTGTGTTTTCATTAGAGCAAGACATTTGTAACTGTGAAATGCATTCAGGCAAGTGATTTCAGATTAGAGCAGTTAAGCACTATGCAGAGAAAGCTGAACAGTGAGTAGACGTTAAAGCTAAATCTGATAAAGACGAACAACTAGCAAAGCGCTGTCGCTAACAGGGCACACTACAGACAAGAGTGACCCCAGACACAGCACAGTGTGTGATTCCCATCTACACCCACCGACCCATCACTTCCCAAGTGAGGGCTGATTTTTAAATAACCCTCAGGATGGTGGATATTGACTAGACTTATCATGGTGCTCATTTTGCAATATATACACATGCGTGGAATCATTAGGTTGTACACCTGAAACTACTATTATGTTATATGTCATTTTTAAAAACTTAACCTCAGGACTATGTGAAAGGAGAATTCAGTTACAAATCGCCAGTACCGAAGGACCCGTGGAGTGGTGGAGTGGGGAGAAGTAGATGCTGCTGTCACACGTGTGGCTGAATGGCTGCTGTGTGGACGTAAACGTGTCGGCAGTTTGGCTTACCTTCTCTTCCCTCTCTCTCTCTCACACACACACACCCCTTACTATTTCTTTATTTCTTTATTTTTACTTTAATACAGAAATATATGTCATATCTGTAGTTGTCCCCAGAGGATGACAGCTGCTGGCCTGGCCACAGCAGATCAGTATGGATGGTGGGAAGTGGTCCCTTTGCTTGACATGTGCTAGCGACAAACTGTGCAGTGAGGTATCCGTTAGGTCATCTTTGCAACATTAGCTGTATCAGCTGGTTTTGTTCATGATGGGACTCCACCTGAAATATGGCATTTAAGTGACAGCATTTTGCATTCTTCCTCAGTGACCACACTTAAAAAAACATATTTCTTCTAGAAAAATGCTGTTACATACATAGCTGTAAAAATTACATATTTCTATATTTAAAACAATATTAAATATTACTGTATTAAATATATTTCATCAATAAGGGAAAATCCATATGCTGAATTAACCAAGAACTTTAGGAATGACATCTCCATACTTGAGCAATAGTTGTAACTCTACATTATTATGTTTACATCTTTTGTTTTATTATAATTGTGTCAGTGTTTCCAGAATAAATACATGAATGCTAGAATGTCTCTATACATGTGTCTATGGGTGGTAGAATGGGATGTTTTTCGAATAAGAATACATTTTCTTTAAAAAAATAGCAATGGAGCAACTTACTATATACAAAAAGAAAATTAAGAGAAATGTATGGCAAAATAATCTGCAAGTAGCACCCATATTTAATAGAGTGAGTGTCATGAATATTATGTCTGGATTTTTTTAAGGCTTTTATATTTTTTAAGATTTTATTTGTTTTTAGAGAGAGGGGAATGGAAGAAGAAAGAGAGGGAGAGAAACATGGATGTGTGGTTGCCTCTTGCATACTCCAAACTGGGGACCTGCCCCACAACCCAGTCAGTCATGAGTCCTGACTGGGAGTTGAACCAGAGACCCTTTGGTTCTCAGGCCAGCACTCAATCCATTGAGCCACACCAGCTAAAGCTTATGTGTGACTCTTAAGTTTTACAAAAGTATAAATATAATAATTTTAATTTTCTATTTGAAGTTAATCTTGGCTGTAGTAATTAATAAGTATAACAAATAAGTAAACAATTAGGAAACATTTAATAAATATTTGCCAACTAAATGGATCATGGAAATGTAATTTCACAAGTCTGAGATGCTGCATCTTGTTTTTCAGGCACGATATTTACTAACAATCCTATATTACTTCCGGATAAACAGTCAACAGTTCAATTTCTTGTTGAAGCCAGTGATGGTGGAATTCCTGACCTGAGGGCTCTTACCTTAGTGGAGATAGAAATACAAGATATGAACAATTATGCCCCTGAATTTTCAGTAGAATATTACAATCTTAGCTTGAGTGAAGATGCTCAAATTGGAGGCACGCTTGTCACCTTTTCAACCACTGACCACGACCGGACCCCTGAAAACACACATGTTGAATATTTCATCATCGGTGGTAATTCACAGAACAATTTCCAAATGGAAACTAGTCTCATTCATTCAGAATATGCTGATAAGCAAGTTGGTTATCTGGTGCTGCGTCACAGTCTGGACAGAGAAACATCTGCCAGTCATAAGCTTGTCATTCTGGCATCTGACCATGGCTGCCCTCCACTGAGTTCCACAACAATTGTGTCCATAGAAGTGCTTGATGTCAATGACAATCCACCCAAATTCAGCAGTCTGAAATATCATGCCCATGTCAAGGAAAGTACCCCTCTAGGGAGTCACATCACTGTGGTCTCAGCCAGTGACCGAGATGTGGGTTTACATGCAGAAATCATCTACCACATAATTTCTGGAAATGAGAAAGGACATTTTCACCTAGAAGAAAGAACTGGCATTCTTTATTTGACTAAGCCTTTGGATTATGAAGAAACAATAAAATTCACTTTAACTGTCCAAGCTTCAGATGAAGAAAAGAAATATTTTTCTTTTGCAGTTGTGTTTGTTGGTGTCCTAGATGATAATGACCATGAACCTCATTTCATGTTCTCAAGCATGAACTGTGTTGTTCCTGAAAATCTGCCTGTTTTCTCTACCATATGTTCTATAAATGCTTTGGATTTTGATGCAGGTCCTTATGGAGAATTGACCTATTCTATTTTGTCTCCCTGTTCTCTCACACATGGGGTGCCTCATGACCAAGATCCCTTCCTCATTGACCCTCTAACAGGGGACATTCATGCTAAACAGACCCTTGACTATGAAAATGACAATAAATACTGCTTTACAGTTCAGGCAAAAGACAGAGGTGACTCAGCAGCCTCTTTAGTAGTTTGGGTGGATATTGAAGGGATAGATGAGTTTGAACCCATTTTTACTCAAGATCAATATTTTTTCAACCTCCCAGAAAACAGTGTAAGACAGTTGATTGGCAGAGTAGAGGCATCAGATGCAGATGCCGGTATCGATGGTGTCATTCTTTACTCCCTTGAAGCTCCATCTCTCTTCTTTTCTGTAAATAGAAGTAATGGAAATATTTATTTAACTAGAGCCCTTCCCCTAATAAGAAGTCATATCAGCAAAGAAGACACAATTGAAATGAAAATAATCGCTCACAGCCCCAAACAGGACTCCAAGTTTGCCTCTTGTACTGTTTTTGTGAATGTGTCTTTTTCCTCAGAAGGAATGCACTTGGCCTTGTCAGCTAGCAGCTTCTCCATCAGCCTCACAGTCTCCTTTTTGGTGTTCCTCTTACTTGTCTTCACCCTGGTTGTCCTGATTGTAAGACACAAACAAAAAGACACAATCAATAATTATGAAGACAAGAAGGCGTCATCACCCTTAGATATTAGTATAAGACTGAGCAGGGATGCCAGCCTACTCAAGCCCTTCCAGACAACAAATGAGGGCAGTAATGAGGCGGTTCCAGCAGACTCCCTGCCAGAATGGTTGAGTTTAATAAGTATCATGGAAAAGGACGCTGTCAATCTGTACAGGCACTCAAACTCCAGTGGCCACTGTTCTGTGGAAGGAGAGAGTGCAGAAGATAAGGAGATCCAGAGGATAAATGAGCACCCTTACAGAAAGGACTCTGGCTCAGCTCTGAGTGACCGGGAGTCCAGGGTGCCAGACTCGGGAGTCCCGAGGGACTCAGACCAGCTCTCCTGCTTGTCTGGGGAAACCGATGTGGTGGTCACAGCAGAAACCAGCCAGACACTTGAGCAAGGCGATGGAGGAGAAGGCTGTGGCCCAGCCTACGCCCAAAATAGTGTGTCACCCCAGACACTAAAGAAGAAAGAGGTAAAAGTGGGCATCCTGGCTGAGGTCAGGAAAGAGCCTGTCTTTATTTCAGGTGATCTAGAAACAAGATGTGCAGCCCTTTCAACACAGAGAACCTCTGATCATGATGTGAGAGGCACCTATCACTGGGATTATCTCCTCAGTTGGGAACCTGAGTTCCAACCTCTCGCCTCCGTATTTAATGACATCGCAAAACTAAAGGATGAACATTTACATAAACCAGGAATTCCCAAAGAGAAAAAATCTTTTGTTTTTCCGCCCCCTTTGATAACAGCAGTTGCCCAACCTGGAATCAAAGCAGTTCCACCAAGAATGCCAGCCGTAACCCCAGAGCAGGTCCTGCAAAAATACCTGCACTCCCCGCTTCTCCATCACCCCAATTCTCTGCCAGGAACCATGACTCCCAGTTTTTCTCCATCTCTTTCCTTGTTGACGACACAGACCCCTGCCGTGACTCCACTGTTGTCCTACGGAGGATCGTTAGGAACCTGTCTAAGTGACGCATGCCATGAACTTAAAGCGGAAGATGAAGTTCGAATATAAAACAATTGTGATGTCAAGCACCTGCTCACCACTGGTCATGAATTATTCAATGGAACATTCTTCAGCAAGCTCCTCTCAAGATTGAGTTAATTTTATCTACAAGTGAGTGGTATGATTTAGTCAGGGTTTGTAGAACCTCCTCATTTAAGTTTCTCAAATTTCAGCCTTAATGAGAAGTTACCCCCTCTTTTAACCATTATGGTTTGCTCTCAGGACTTGTTTGTATATGTTAAATAGTGTATATTCTGTCATACCTGGTTTCCTGTGTAATTAGATTTCCAAAGGACAAAGTGAACTTGACTGACTACCAACGTGTTTATGTGAAAATAAATGGAAATAAAGTACAGGTGAAGTCCACTTGGTCACATTACTGCCGATTGCACTGATATATCTAAAACAAATTAGTAAAGATGGAATAAGAAATGAGCGTAGGACAGAAAGTTAACAGAGGAGAAATTGGAAGGCTAATCTTACATTTTAAAGTAAAGCAATTTTCTACAGATCTGACATGTTTAGAGATGCATTTCTTCACTTTCACCATTGACCACACTTGTGGAGTTTGGCCATAATTTGAATTTTAATGTAGTGTCTTTTGGAAATTTAATCAGAAATTAAGAATGAAATTTGCCATGTAACTCTGTGCCAAAAAATATATATTCTCAATTAAATGAAGCAGAAATGTCTGTTCTTGACAGAGGGCCAGGGTTGATAAAAGCAATAAGTGTGTGGTTGGCTGTCACCTAAGACAGGCTTCCTTGATCTTCTTTAGAAATAGGATAATGATTTTTCTTCTTTTGATATTCTGTCTTATAACATTGTACGGGTACAGAGATTAAAGTTTGAAGTGATTTGTAGGGTTTTCTTTTCATTTTATTTTCTTCTAGATATAATAACTTTTGGTGAGAAATAATTTATCCACTCATTGTCAGTTCTAAATGTTTTTGTAGATAAAATTATGTTATTAGCTAATAATAATTTTATAGAGTAATTTAGCAATATATTTTTAAATGAAGTTTTTTTATATAAATATTTCTGCTATAAAAGTTGAAAATGGATGTCAGAAGTCTTTCTTTCATTTGTTCATGTTTAGCTTTAACTGATGTTAGGTGGAGCAGTTTGGCAACGTGGTTAAAATCATTCTGTTTTATACAGCTATGGTTTCAGAAATACAGTGGTGTTGTGTGGTACTCACATTTAATGCACATTCTCCTCTCTGGTCAGCCTGGGAGTCCATCCAAAATTCTGAGCCATTCCAGGAAAGCGGAGCATATCCTGGTGATGACAGCCAGGGAGTCATCCATGGTAGGCAACCGGGCCCGTCTTTGAAATAAGAGTTTAGGATTCTCAAGGGCATCTGGTATGGTTTTCTTGGTGGTTACTGTGGATGGGTGTCCACTATAGAGATATTCCCTTCATGTTTTTTCTTTCAATAGGCCTCGTCTGTAAAATTATGTGAGATAACTCATTTCTCTTTACTGAAAAACATTGCAGGGTGCTGTGTTTGGCTTCTAATTTTGTAGGTAAATAATTCTAAAGCTTTTTATTCCAATTTGATCAATTATATATCTCTGCTGACTCTTAAATTGAGAACAAGTGTATAAAACCACATTGGAAATTGTATGAAACAGAAAGGTTTTTGGTCAAGCCTGGAATCCTAGAGAACTGTCACTTAGGCATGAAACAAATACTAAAGGTCAATGCATGTCTCTCCTTGTCTTCATGGCATCTGGGAAAGAAGACTTCTTGGTTTTATTTTAAAAAAGTAATTATTTTCTTCCAATATTTATTCTCTTTGACTTCCTTCAAAAGATTACTTTGAACCTATAAAGAAATTTTATACAGATTTTTCCTAATTATATATGGATGTTTTGTTTTACAACAGAATTATTTCTAGGAACCAAGAACATCTTATTGTTTTGAATTAACCAGGTTCTTTATTTACTTATGCCTAAAAAGAGTTGTCCATCTACTCTTCCTTAAGTTGTCTGTGATTTATTATTCCTTCTGGACATGGTTCTACATTTTTAAAAGACATTTAATAAAAACAGAAGACATGGAGTATTTAGAGCCATTCCTTACCAACATCTAGTGGATTTTTAATTGATGACTTTATTAATACTGTATCCGATGCCATGCCACCACCAAACAAATGCTACAAGTGGGGTTAAGAGCAAAAAATGTAAACATGCTGGTTAAGTGTTCACAATAAATCACATGTCAGCCCTTTCAACTAGAGTGCTTTTTTCCCTAAATAAACAATATAATTTGTATAGTTTTCCTTCACGTCTAATATTAACTTGCCTCATATGTTCTGTGTTACTTTGCTGATCTACACACTGGCTTTAGCGCTCTGGAGGGGGTACAGAACTTGTTAGTGGAAAATCATATTAAGCCCCAAACTCATAAGCTATAAAATAAAAGACAGTTGTCTCTTGTGGAATTTTGGCTGCCTGAAATTCTGGACTTTCTCGTTGGCAGCCTTAAAAATACTGGTGTAAATCAGTACCAAATGGATATCAAAATTCCTTGTCCTAGTAGTAATCATTGAATTGGCTTCCAAAACAGATTCCTGGGCAGAGGAAGGGAAAAATGCTATATCTTCAGGGACTGGATCATGTAACTGTTCTCTGAAAATATCAAAAGGTCCTGTAAACTACTGGCTGCCAGCATGTACACATCCTTAGTCTATCGTAAATGTCCAGCTGATGCAGGAGCTGTATGTTTCCCAGCACCTTTCCCTTCAATTTCAGTGTCTTCCAGAAATTATAGTGATGAAAGTTCATTACTAATTTTAAACTTATTACATCCTAACCTGTTTTGTTACATTTGTTTTGTTTCACCACTTTACACATTTTTTAACTTAAACTAAAAAAAAAAGTAAGACGTAACTAAAAGGACCTAAGATGATCCTTTACTTCAAAACAATGAAGTATATGGAGTGAATATGGTTAGTGGATTTGCACATGATTATTATGGATGAGCTCATTGGGTTTATTTTCACAGTGTGTTTTCATTGAGCTTAAAGGTATAGAGCCCTCTGTGTGGTCATAGCTGAGGAGAGTTAGTATGGAAAATCGTTCTGTTCAAGAGGGACACCGCGATCAGGGAAGTTGTGAGAAGTGTTGCTTATGACCAAAACCACATTCCCATGGGAGTCACTGAATGGAGGGAGCTTTCACCCTTTGCAGAGTCAGAAGGAGAGGAGAGAGGAGAAAATAGAGGGTTAAATCTGAAAAGGAACAGTTTAGGGCCCTCGTAGAGAAATGCAAGAAGGGAAAAGGGTAAGGACTTGTAAAAAAATAATTTTACAAAAATAAATGTAAAGCTTTTGCTGAGAAATCTTTCCCCATTATAGGTTTGTCTTGTTGAGAAATATTTTGGGGGGGATCTTTTTTTTCCTCCTCTTTCTTCTCTGTTCCTTTTAAGTCTCTTATCTCCATTGCTCTATTGTCTGAAAATTTAGGTTTATCAAGTTGTGAACCTAAAGCTAGGTAAGAGTGAACCAAAACACATTTGACTTTGAAAACCTGAGTTTCTTTTTTTTAGTGAATGGTAGAATAAAAAATTGGAATGATTACTCTGCCTTTTTTCCCACTTTACATGACTTTGCACATCTACCAAGTAATGAAAGTACAGAAGGCAGTTGGAGCAGAATATGGAATTTTAGTACCTTTGTAATCTTGTCTTTTTTCTGATAACCAGACTTTTTCAGAACTGTTTGCTTAATACTCATGATTTTATATTAAAACAGTACATTTCATATAGCTTTTAAACCATAGTATATAATATACATAGTCAGTAGTTTATTCTTAAATATTGTCAATTTTATTTAAACTTGTGTCATAAATTATTTTGATTTCATATAGGTCAAAGAAATTTGTCTATCAGAAACAAAATTATGGCAATGTTAGGAAGATCTAGCAGAAAGTGACTGGAGTATTGAACTATGTACCTTTCTCTTATAAACTCAGCACTTGCCTATTTGATGACAATTTAGCACTTCCTACTGTTTTGATCTACATAATTTTCCTCATTTCACTCAATATACTTCTTAACCAAAACTGTGAAGTAAGTAACAGAGGGGGGAAATCATACCAAATAAATAGCAGATGCACAAGTACATCTCTTGAATGAGAAAACATTATTTTGGTTAGAAAACTAACTACATGGATTTCGTTGTTAGATAGTAAACCCTCAGGGCAAAATCCTGGTCTCAACTTGTATCATGAAATACAGATGTTTCTTAGAATGAATGAGTACATATGTGAATGGGCACAGAGGGTACTATAAAGTGAGAGTGTGATACATAGGTCTTGAACCCATTAAGTGTGAATTCTAACATAGTTCTGATTTTAGCCAATCACAGGGAAGAAGGGAAGTACAAAGGGTCTATTAGAATACTATAGAACATCTTAGTCAAAGTCAAGGAATTCCTTTTGTAATATGGTTTGTCTTCTCTTTTTCTTTCCTTTACTCACAATAGACATACATTTCTTGTGAGTTTTAGACATAATAAAAACAAATTATAGATGACATTAAAAAGCACATTCATTATTTGAGACAGTCATATTACATGGCAAAATGTGCATGGAACAGCTTAAAACATAAATTTTTGTTAAAAAATCACTAGCTTTTATTAATGTATTCTTTCTTAAAATAATAAAATGACATCTCACTGAAAAGCCAATATTGTCCCCAATGGAGATATTCTAGACCCTTCGCTATAAGGCAGGAATAAAAAAAATATCTCTAGTATCCCCACCAAAATCTAATATTGTTCAACTAAACAAGAAAGCAATTAGAAACATAAGAATTTGAAAATACATGGTAAAACTTCTTCTATTTGTACACTATATTACTATATTTCTGAAAAACCCAAAATAATTGATGGAAAACCATTATAAAAAATGAGTCCTTGCTGGTGGGGCTCAGTGGATTGAGCGCGGGCCTGCAAACCACATGATCTCGGTTTGATTCCCATCAGGGCACATGCCTGGGTT